AAAAAAAAAAAAAAAAAAAAAAAAAAAAAAAAAAAAAAAAAAAAAAAAAATGCATTGATGAAGGATCGATGGCACATTGGTCAGATTCTCTACGCGGGCAAAAGACGTAGTCCGCTCGACCAACGTCGAGCATACCCCTCTAAGATATAAGATTATATTTAAGGTGTTAGAGCGAGGGGAGCTTGGGTTAAAGGTAAAGGTAGGGGGAGCTCTCCCTCCACTGCTAGCTTGGTTGGAGAGAGAGTAAAACCGTTGTGCGCATGCGCGAGAACTCTTGGTTGTTAGAAACACTGGCCCCAATCCCGCGAAATACGCGTGGATGTACTAGCTTAAGGGGGTAGTGTCACAATGTATAGTCAATGCGTGTTCTGAAATACATTATGTGTTCCGAAACAGACTAGTGAAAATAAATGTGGCAACGCCACATGAGGCGAAGACCCTCTGTATATCTATACGTATAAGTATAGATACGTTCGGAGGTTATATTGTACGTCAACATTGAGTTGGTTGTGAAATCTACGTTGCAACATATTCACTCATTTTTAAATATACACTTTTAATTTGTTATAACTAAACAACGGTAAAGCTACGGGTGCTGTTCTTGAAATATGATATTTAAAACATACTATTTTACATTATACTTACTCCAATTTCAGCAAAGTCTGAAATTTTTTTAAATCGCAATCTGTAAAATAATCTTTTTCTGATAAGAATACGTGTTAAATAGATAATTTGTTTGTTGAAAACGGTGAAGCTAGGGTGTCTGAAATTTTAATATGTTATTTTACATATAGTTGTTAGTTTATACAAATTTTTTCAAGGCGTTCCTAAATTTTTGAATTTTGTGACTCTACCCCCTTAATATCAAGCCATCACATCTTCTCATTAAGCTGAGCAGATAAACGGATGACAGAAAGACCTGGATATTTTTTAGCTAATTTGTAGGGGAACAATCGAATAATCATGCCTAGTACAAGATGGAATTAACTGTCGGACAAGCTGTGGCCCTTTGCGATATACATATGTAACTTTTAATCATGTAAGACGCAGCATGTAGTTAGCTTAGTTGGTTAGTGCGGGCTCCTTTTGTTTCCAATCGGCAGTTGGAGGTTCGAATATCGCTCGCTGCATTTTTTTTTTTCTAGGAAAATTGCAGTTTTTTTCTTTTTCTTATCGCTCGCAGTACTTATTATAATTCCCCGTAAGATATTGAATTCTATACAAAATGGTGAGTTTGTGTGCATCAAGTTAATCTCATTGATGAACTAATGAACTCTATTCCCTGTCCTTTCTGAGCAATAAAAATGTTTGTTACTCTGAAATATTAACAATTTCGTAACTTAAATCATATGAACAAGTATTAATTAAACTACAT